TGTTCCATTCAGGTGGAGGCACCCGAGTCGTGCTCAGGATTTCCTCCTGGGGGGATATCAAATTTAGGGCCGTCCATGAATCTCCTAAAGCTGGAGGCGGAAGGTCTTTTTAAAACGTCAGGTGACAAAATAAATCGATCGTGTACAAAAAAGAATCGGAAAAAGTTAGGGGGTAGCGGGTTCAATAATTCGATAATCTTCACATCGTCACAAGAAAGGGTAAGGGGGTCAATTTTGACCATTTTTAGCTTCACGAGATTTATGAAATTCATAAAAAATATAGGTATATTTATAAATAATTGTTCAGTATTTTTTAAGGAAAATTAAAGTTTAAAACCCTGCTGAGGGGGTTTGAAAACCCGAAACCTCCATTGCGCACGGTCACAAATATTACGTTTTTTCTCGCGCACCTCGTGCAACAAAATCCCAAATATTTACGAACTTATGTCCGATAATTATGTCACCATGTAAAAAAAAATTACCGATTGAGAACATTACAAACAAAAGTTTGTTTATAATTTTTTTTACCGAATATTTAATTTTTATGATTTTTTTTTTCGATTCAGTAGTTTCCGCATGAAAAATTTTAGACAAAAAAAATATGATTTTTTAAGTTGCAAAATCAATATTAGAAATATTTAATTTTGGAAAACCACTCCGCGTGAAAAATCAAGGTACCACTTCGACTGTATAGGCAAATTCTTAAGGATTTGGCGGAAGGGGTTGTAAAAAAACAAGGTGGGCCGCTTTTAAAAAAACTGTCCCGGGCTGTTTGAAACATGCCCATCCGCCCCTGTTTATATACAATAAAAACAACAGTGGTCCCAGAGTATCCTGAGGTAATCAATACTATTTATCATGCGGAAACTACTGAATCGAAAAAAAAATCATAAAAATTAAAAATTCGGTAAAAAAAAATATAAACAAACTTTTGTTTCAATAGTGGTTTTTGATTTTATCAGATATTACGCTATTAAATTTGACAATTTGGAATCTATTGGTAAGATATGAACCAAACCACTTTAAACCTATTTTATTGAGCTTTTTAATCAATAATTCTCTATTTACCATTTCAAAATTTATCTTAAACTAAAAATGACCTAATAACACTACGTACTTAAAAAATGTATTGCAGTTTTTCCTCTTTAAATTGATATACGTAGCAGTGAAATAAAAATAGGATAAAAAGACATCTTCTCGTTCCATCACGTCGATACCCGAACCGCCCCCCGGATGGCCGCCCCCGTACGTACGCGGCCGACAAAGTCCCGAATTCCGGATCGTGGGGGCTGAAGGGGCGGTTTTTCGGGCGACTTTGTTTACCTAAGTCGGGCGGCCACGTTTCTGTCATGTTTCATTCATGGATTCGCGTTTGGCGGCCGCAGAGGCGGCGTTCGATGAAGGGGCGGCGGTCGCGACCAAATTCCACATGTTGCTCGCTTTGCAATCCCTGACGGAAATTATTAGGCAGTGAAACTAGTCACTACCATACTGGTAGCAGTTAGTTAAACTTGATTTCCTTCAACTAAATTCTAAGAAAAGTTTGTCATAATCTCTTAAAATGAATTAGTCAAAAATAACTAATTATAAGTCATATTTGACTAATTGTCATAGCGAAAAAGCAGTCACTAAATTAAAAAAGATCTGTGAACCAGCCGGGGTTTGACCTCGGGTCTTTCGTTTGTCAAGCGAATGTCTGACATATAAGCTAAAGTCACTTTTATAAAAAATTAATTTAAATTGTCTATAAATATTGTTAATAATATTTTAAAGTTAAATATATTTTTTGCATCTTTTTATGGGTTATTTAACCAAGGAGCCTATATGCATTTAACTCTAACAATAACTTGTTGTAGTCCGCAATCGATTAAAGAAATTAGTTACTTTTCACTTTCAGAGATGCTGATTTATCTTAAATAAGTACATTAGATGCACAACTCTGTATTTGCAGGATAAGTGATTTTAAGAAAAACATGAAAAACCGCTCATAAGATCATTTTTGAAAAAAAATGCAAAAATTGTATAGAAGTGCTTTTGAATCATTTTCATTCAAAAAAGTGAGAAAAAAAAATCCTTTAAAACTAGGTATTTTAGTAAATAATTGTAATCAAAATATTGAAAAACATAGTTTTGCATCTTCCTCTTTCAAAGACCAAATTTTGCAAGTATAAAGTGCTAATAGCAAAAAATAACAATTAATCAGGTGATTGTTATAACAATTAATCAGGTGATTGTTATGTCGTCACGTAATGCGTATACTAGCGACGTGATTGGTCAACAGCAAATACCGAGTTTTGCATCCGACATGAAGAAACGAATACCTAGTTTTGCATCTGCGTTAAGTTTTTAAATGTATTTTATTCTACAAATACTAACATCTGGTTTACTGTAGGCAGTGCAGTAAATAGGATAAAATATATATTTTTAAAAATTTGCAAAAACCGAGATTTGAATCTAATGTCCTCAAATTAAGTATTTAAAAATAACTATTGAAACGTGAAAACGACTATTTTATTGGTAAACAATTTTAGAAAAAAAGAGTTAAATGGATTATAAACGCTCTTAAAATTTCAAATCAATGTCTTTTTCCGTTCCTCAGAAATTTCCAATCTTTTTTGAAACGGCCCTAGCAATTTATTGGTTCTTATAAATTGAAACTACTAAACAAAAATTGGAACATTTTTAACAATAAAAATAATGTCAATAAAATAACTATTATAAGGCTTATACAATTGAAAAATAATTTTTCTATGCAGATCATGTTGCACTATCCACCAATAAAAAAAATTTCTGTGGCAGCTCGATGCAGCACCTCAAAAGCACTTGTAAAAGGTCAAAGGTTAGAGAAGTAGGCAGATCCCTTTTTGTTCCCATTTCTCAGGCAAAAGCAGTGAAGTTAGTCTACTTTTCCGTTAATATATTCCCCACTCTTCCCTTACCTACTTACTTTTTTCTCCCGCACCAGCAAATAAGTACTTGGATTCTAAATTACAAGGGAAAATTTGCCGACTGGTCTTAATTATGTGCCGCACCGCATTTTATTGCTTTCTTTATTTCTACTTGCCTTTTATAGAAATTAATTTGACGTATTACAAGAATTAACACGTAAACGATATATAATAAAAATTATAAGGTTTTATTTAACATTAAAATAAAATGATTATAGTTCCTATAACATTTCCCAAAAAAAATTTGTGTATAATTATAATAGAGAGTTATTATTATTAATATTATTTTTCGTTGAGACCAACTGGAAATATTATCTGATATCAGCTTTAAAAGGCCTTTCAAAAGATGTCAACCACTTTATCTTTTAAGCTTAAATGTGACCTTTTGGCACTACGAAGCCATTGAAGAAACTTTTGTACGTATCTCAGGTTGATTTATGTCTATTTTGTAATATTTTCTAAAAATTTGATTTGATTTTTTTTTTAATCCATACACGTCAAAAAATGTTACCAAATGTTGGGTTTAAAATGCTAGAATTCCAAACTTCTAAAATAGTATATTATGTATCAAGTTTGATAAACGCCATTTTATACACGAATTTAATTTAGGCACGAGCGAGCTTGCGAGCGAGTGCTTAAGTTAATGAGTGTATAGAAAAGTTTATAAACGAGGTGCATACTATACTTTTTCTACGACAAATACTTATTAATATCTTAAAATGATTTAAATCAAAAATTTGTACAGAGCGCCATCTATGAAACAACAGGGGAAACTGTCAAATGTCACATTTTTACATTTTATAAACACAATTATAAAGGTTATAAATCGAAATGTATATTGAAAATTGACAGTTTTTCATAGTGAAGGAAAGTAAAGGAAATGTTTTATGAGGACTTTACAGTCCTTTAGAGTCCGTGCCCGAATTTAAGTTATAGTTTACTGCCGGCGAAATTAAAAGGTCAGTACAATGTTCATATAAACTCTTCAAATATTGGCGTTGAGAAACTATTTAATATTTTTGTATTTTTGTATTGAGATAATAAAATAATTTTCACATTTAGTATTATTTTACAAGAAAGGCACTTTATTTTAACGATTGTATGACATTTGACAACTGTCAACTAACTTAAAACTAACTTCAGCCCGTGACTAAAAACCTGTTGCTAACTTCAGCCCGTGACTAAAGCGCCGTAAAGCAACTTGTCAATGTGTATTTAAAAGGTCACTTAGTGTCATGGAAACATGTACGATAAAGGGCGTTTTAAAGGGGGGAGTAGAAAAAAATTTTTAAATGTTGAAAATTGTACCTACTCATAAAATTTTTTCGGTAGGTTTTGTTTAGCTTGCCAAACAATACATCTTTTAGCCGGTTATAACCTAGCTTTCTCTCGATTTCAATGATTATCATAGTCGTTTTCACCATGTATCCCAGAACTCGCGCTACTAAAAAGCAATGGGGAGGCCAAATTTAAAAATAAAAAGTGAAAATTAAACAGAGCCAAAATCTCCAGCAACTCGCGTAAAATGAAAGTCCTTCATAACTCACTAAACTGTGAACGGGAAATTCGCGTGCAACTTCCCTTATGCTCTTCCTACTATTTGCATCAAAGGCATTGAAAATAGCTTCTTTATTATCCGCTGTTCTAATACGTTAAGGAGCACCTTCAATTTCGTTACAACGCAGAGCAACTTTACAGTCCAGGGGACTGCCCGGAAAGCGCTTGAAAAAAACTCGTGCTGCCTCCCTAGCATTGCGCCCATATTCCCATAAATAATCTTCATTTTAATTTTCAAGGATGTGTTTTGCATAACTTTCGGTACGTTTTTTTTTCTCTGTGGCTCTGTGGACTTTAACTATAGTTTTTGTTATCGTATACTAAAACTTTAAAGCTTGTTCACTACGACGCGTTAAATTTTTGAAGTTGCTGCACGTTGTCGCCAATCGCGTTGGTAGCGCGAAAAAGCCCTCGTCGTGTGACACCGTGCGCGGTGCAGAGAGCAAGGCGCGCCCCTTCTAGGTGAGGCGTCGCGGCGCCGGTATTGATTGTCCACGCACACACGGCACAGTTCAGTCGTCGCCGGCGTCTGGCTATCGGCGTTCGCGCCAATACGCGTCCGCCAACCGAAGCAGACGCTTCTCCTCCGAACTTCGCTCCAACGTTTTGGCGCCAAAACCTGTTCAAACCTGAAAATGGTCAAATCTTAGTGCCAAACTAAACCAAAGTGTGTTTAATAAGTCTGTCTATTCAATCGATCAATTCAAATAATAAGACTATTGTAAGGATGGACTGTTGCAATTATATGCCGTATCGGCACCATCAAAATTACTACGGGGGTCCTTACTATGATCCTTTGCCGCAGTACCGAGACGATTACTACCATCATGGTCCTCCTCTCGGTTATTCCGATTACTACGGACCATCACTGCCGTATTACCAGCAGCATTGGCAATGTGCTCCTTCCTTTCAAGGTACGCCCCCTTCTCACACGTTGCTCTATTTATTTATTTATATCCTTATTTATTTTAAGAAATTGTAATTTTATATACTTCCCTTTTTTCATAAAGGAATAAGTAGTAAAAAAATATTATAATATTGATTTTCCAAATACAACGTACCTATTATTATTTTTATTATTATTTAAAAATGCTGTTTAATTCTGCAATTTTAAGATAGATATTAGTAATCTATATGGAACTGTAAAATAACAATAAAATTTAACAACATATTATTTTCACAATGTTACAAGTTATGAAATTTTTTTTTAACAATGCCATCCTTAGAATACCAGGGGTGTCCAAACTTTCAATCTGAATTAAAAATATCTCCTATAATATTTTTAATGCATTTAAAAATTTCTCCTATGATATTTCTAGTTTAGCGAATTAAAAATATGTGTTTAACTAAAAAATACATATATAGGAAGCAGATATTTAAATTAACTAAATTAAAAATATTAGGTTGACTTAAAAATTAAATTAAATTTTTAAATATTAACTATGATATTTTTAATTCGCAAAATAAAAATTCTAATATGATATTTTTTATCTAATAATGCGCATTACCTCAAATGCAACACTTTTTCAACTATAATTAGGTATTTTTTATTGATAACAACATTTATTATAACCTTACTTTCTTCCCATTTAAATGATACAAAAATTCTGACATCTGACAGTAAATATTAAAAAATATTTAAAAAAATCAATTAAACGTTTGAGTAAAGTTGTAATTTAAAAAAGGCCAATATTTTAAAAAATTAAACGAAGCGTATGTTTAAAGTTGAACATATTTTATACAGTAAGTCACAAATTGCGCAAAAAAGTATTGATTTACTTCTCCCGTCTCGCTAATTTATTTAAAAACAGTTTAACTTGTTTTTAAGTTTTATCGATAGTTTACATTCAAATTAACTTTTTTCCAACACGTAAGAAATAAAGTATTGCTGTTTAAATTTCAAACTAAATCAAAAGGTTAATGTCCTTGCTCTCTTTAAAAATAAGTTTTGCAAACGGCGGTTTGGGCGAAAGTTTCAATCGGTAGTTCGTCAACAGAAAACTTTTGGCTGAGTTTCCTTTGACAACAAAAGTTTCAATGAAATTTTGATTCCCCTTATTGCTGAATTTACGTCGTTTAACTTTGTGTGTGTGAGTAGCTTTTTGTTTTGTACACTGAGAAAAAAGTTTATGGTTCCCAAATAAAAAGAATAATTAAATATGGGACAGAAGCATAGCTTATTTATCCAAAATATATATTTATTCCTGACGCATAAAGTTTTACTAAAGTAAATTTATCGTTATTATTTCGACTATTTAGAGGTAATAAACAATATATTTACTATTAGTAAAAAGTATTAGCTACACAGTTTATTTGTCCCATTTTTTCTCAGTGTACATCAGTTTAGTTTCGTTACCTTAAAATATTCATAAATCTAATTTTTATTATTTATTTTGTTTATAACATTGCTGTTACATTATTTAATTAAAAAGATTATTAATTTTACAAAATTAATAAAAAATATGGTTTATACATAGTAATTTGTATACCACCTAATGAAAATGCATTTCCGGTGTTCTTTCGTTTCACAGCTCATGTCCATTCGATGAAAAAAATCGAGAAGTGACCTTAGTTGACGTCGAACTAATTAATTAGATTCAGAATCGATCAGAGAGAGCGGCTTAAGGCCATTGAATATGCAGGTACGAGCTACAAATATGCTTTCGTAAATATCAATAAAGATATCGTGTTCAGCCTACTTAAATTAACAGCCCCGGCAGGGATCAATAATTCGATTTTCGCGTCGAAAAAATTAGGACAGATAATGTGTTATGTACAAAAATAGATGAATGTAAAACAATAATTAAAATGTATGTAACAAAAAAATATTTTAATGTCTCAAGCTAAAAGTTTGATGACATTACTTTTAATAATACTGTTAATCAAATACAGCGGTGGCTCGTCACATAACTGAAGATGTGGTGGATGGCAGTTTGTGTTGCAATGTGTGTAGAACGGGTGTTTTTGTTTTGATTCAGATTAAATTATTTAAAACTGTTGTCTGATATTTTATAGTTCTTGTCTCGATTAGTAAAATTTATTGTTTTATTATTGTGGTACAATTAGCAGTTTTTATTAAGCAACAAGTCTTATTGAGTTTCAATTAAGGTTAGGTTTTTAAAATACTTTAGTTAAATATTTCTGCTTTTTTTTTAAATCCTGTTCATGACCTTAATGACATCTCAATAATTGAAACGCCTTTTTTAAAAAGAAACAAAATTAAAAAAGACAGATATTGGGCAGTCGTCCAACGCCAAAAATTTCATTAATATTTAATAATACGAGGGTAAGCAATATTAACGAACTTTTCAAATATCTTGTTACGAAACCTGTAAGTGGCTATGCGGAATTATTTATAAACAAAGCTTATTCTGTTGGCATTGTATTTTATTAGGCTGCGTCAAAAACAATTGAAGTTCATTGAAAAATTATTTATATTTAGACAAAATTTCGCCGCCACTGATCTTATAATAAAATTTATATGTCACTCCGATGTGATTTTACTGTGAAAACATTTTATAACGTTCATTTTTATCATCTAATTCCCAACAGTTATTTGATTAGTTGGAAATTATTACCTACTTACTTTAAGGGTTAATGAATACATAATATCTTTTTTATTTTACCGCTTTTTTACGGTATCTAATAAGTTTTTACAATTACATTTTCTATTAAATAGTATTATGGATATATTCGCGGCCAAATCTGTATGGGTGCACTTCATCAATGCAATATAATGACGTCAGCATTACTTACCAACTTTGAATTGTAAAGTTACTGCCGTTAAATTTGCTTTTTAAGGCGTAATCCTGATGTGTTATAAAAAAATATAAATAATATTCGTATTGTTTAGCAAGAACTGTAACAACTTCCCTGTTTTAAAACGTTTTTTTTACAAAATTTTAAAATAAAACCATTCACTTAGTATTTTTGTATTTCTGGTAATTTAATATTTTTTGTTACAGTGTGGCCCATTTGTTTGCGACTCACCCCTGTAAAACCTTTATTTATTGTGCGATTTTAAACGGATTTGTTTTAAAGTGTAGATCTTGATAAACTGTATTTTTGGAGCAAACACCATATTTGTACAAAATACAAGGCCTATTATGTCAGTTTTTAAGAGTAAATTTTTAAGAATTCATTCTAGCGATTTTCTTTTTAAACAAAATCCAAGTACGGCACTGGATTCACCACCTCAAAACGACCCTTTACAAAATTTTATTGAACAATTTTAAGTAGAAAAATTCAAAATGATTACTACCAAAATTTATTCTGTCAAGTTATCCATGAAAAAAGTATATAAGTATATAAGTTTAATTTTATTTCAATGTTTTTTTCATGGATTATTGTGCATTTTTCTACTTAAAATTTTTCAATTAAATTTAGTAAGGGGTCGTTTTGAGGGGTTGTGAATCCAGTACCGTGCTTAGATTTTGTTTAAAAAAATCGCTAACGTACTTATTATTGTGCATTTATATACTTAAAATTTTTTCACTAAAATTTAGTATAGAGTCGTTTTGAGGGGTGGTGAATCCAGTGCCGTCCTTAGATTTTGTTAAAAAAATCGCTAATATTAATTCTTAAAAATTTACTCTTAAAAAATGATATACTAGGCATTGTATTTTGTAAAAATATGGCGATTTTGCTCCAAAAATACAGTTTATCAAGAAATACACTTTTAAACAAATCCGGTTAAAATTGCACAATAAATAAAGATTTTACAGGGATGATTCGCAAACAAATGGGTCACACTGTATGTAATAAAAATGTAATGTACTCTCCAAACACATTCAATCAAAATTTGCCCGTAACAAACCCCTAATTAGTTAGTGTATCTTAATAAACATCCCCAATCGCTATAAACAGTCAATAATAAACAAACTTTAGATTGTGCCTGGGCACGTATGAATAGACCTTAACGCTGACGTCATATGCCGTTGATGACGTGCACCCATGCAGATTTGGCCGCGACTATATAAATTTCAAAAATGGCGGATGCGCCGGGGTTAATCTACAGAGTTACTTTTTTTTTAAATTACATTATACATGTTATGCTCAAACTTTTCCAATGGTAAAAAGGTTGGTTTTTGAGGAGTTAATCCTCAAATAAAAATATCTGTATTTTTTTACATTAATTTATTTTCAGACTATGTTTACAATCCGAAAGAGGCTCGCATCAGGAAGGCCTTGCGTGAGGCGACACGAGACCGTTCAATCGGTGCTTCCCCGATGTTGCCGAGGCCAAGCGCGCGCAGGGCTTCTCACGGCTGGATGCCCACTCACGACGAGCCGCTACTGATGGTAAGAACCCGACCAATTATATTTAGTTATGCAATAATACGTAGCAAGTCTCTCCGTTTCGTCAAACAGGTGGTTTCGGATTTAGGTTATCATTTTCTAGATTGTGCCACCGAATGCGGATATAAAAAATCTTTAATATTTGGAAAAGGTAAAAAAACAATATTTATAGCGAGAATACTTTTTCCAATGACAATTTTATAAAGTTGAACTTTTTTCTCGTATATTTTCTATTTCTTTTTATTCGGTAAAAGTCCAAAAAATATTCAAGTAAAGCTTTCTTAGCACAATAGGGGCTTTTGTGCGAACGTTCGACACTAAAAGGTTTTATTTTTCAAAGAAAGATACTTTGACAGAGGCTGTCAAAGTATCAGACAGACATGTCTTTTTTGCAAGTAAAATTCAAAAGAACCAAAAAGCCAAGAAGCCATTTCGTATACCGTATTTAGTTTTTGCATATAACAATGATCGATGATGCACTTTTATAACTTACATAATATAACGCAATATACAGGGTGTACCAGAACTTAAAGTATGAAAAACATGTACTCATTACCTTTTTTATTTGGTAATAATACAAACTTTTTCTACAATAATTATTGTTAAAAATAAAAATTTATGGGTGATTCTACAAAAGTTGGGCAACTTTTGACCTCATTTTGTTTATATAGTTTTCGGAGAAAATTAAACAGTATTTTGTTATGAGAACATAGATAATATAATAAATATACTGTTTCTGAAATATCTGTATTTTAATGCAAGGGAAGTGACGAGTATACCAGGGTACTGGAAAATATAAGATTTATTGCAACTTAGAGCATATTATACATTAAATATCTTAAAATCAAATAATACCACACATCAGTGGCGGCTGGTGGATTTTGGGTATACCGATATTTCAATTATTAGATGGGACCCATCCCAAATTTATAATAATAACATTAAATAAACAAGTTCTGCGCAAGCAGAATTTAAATTGAAGTTTGTGAAAAAAAGATAACCGAAACATCGAACATGGAACTGACGACACAGTACTGATGAATGGGATACAAATTTGAGATAATTCGGAATGAAGTATTTTACTGATATTTTTTATTAGTGGATGCTACTTATTAACAAATCACATATAGCCTTATATAAATTACAATAAAATATTTATACGTAAAAAAATAACTACTCACCAAAGTACTGAAATTTTGACTGAAACTATACGTGCATTCACCACAAATTCGCCGCTTGCATTGTTTTCAAGATGACTGTCGTGCAAAGGGCGGGCTCTGAAGGTAATTTTTTACCAACACTTGAGTTAAAACGAGGACTTGACGTGTAAACTTCAATATTTTGCAAGAAATTTGAATTTTAACATTGGACACAGAACTAACGAGTAAAAGTAATTACAAAGATTATCAATTTTTAAAAAATTGCTATTATTCGAGTCTGTGATACAATATGAAAAATACATTATTTAATGTTTTATAGTTTGTAGTGAAATTGAAAAATTTAAGATAAATTTAATATATTTTAAAATAAAATCACTCAAATATTTGATTCAGGAGTTGTGACAGGTCAAGGTACTGATGTTTTGAATATTTATTATGTTTTTCTTTCGCTTTTGAAAAAATACATTAAAATTGGGCGGGCAATTTAAAGAAAACCTGGATCTTTTGTAATATACTAAATATTAAAATACCTACTCTATTGACTGATGACATCATATATTACTATAGAATAATATTTTGTAAAAAAAAGAAACAACTATCAATCAAGATCCAGAAACTCAATAAGGTTTTTGTGTTTGGAATTAAACACATTTCATAATTTTGGTACAAATATGTCAATATTAAAATTGGTACTCCTGTTCAAGAACTAAATTTTAAATACTTAACATTAATCATTTTATTGTCAGAAGACAAAATAATAGAAACATCTAAACGAATTTTTTTTTAAATAAAACAGCGTTAGTAGTGTAGCTTAAACAATCGATATGCGAGGAAGCAAGAAAACCAAGATAACTATATGTTTCACAGTGGGATGAATTTTTAAAATTTCTAAATATTTATTTTATTATATATATATTGATATAAGTAGCATGACAATTTGAAGACTTGTATTTATCGAGAATTTTTTTTTTACATACTTGTTTTTACTTTTTTTTAAGTCGCCACACCTTTATATTTATCGAGAAATTCCTTTTTAACTTTCTCGTTTTTAGATTTTTTAGTTATTATATATTATAGATTTTTAAACTTTCGAGATAATTTTAAATTTTGATTTATTTCCCTCTAAAAAGACATTTTGTTTCAATGTGTGTTTACCACCTACTCACACGTAGTGACGATCTGTTGTGTTGATGTCAGTCGATAGCGATGACGAACTTTTTGGCACCGGAATACCGTGAAAAGATACGACAACGTGATATTCCAGTGGCGTGCCCACACCCCTAATTTAGAAATAAAAAAAAGATTTCCTCAATGAGATTTTTAATTATAAAATTAAATGTTAGTTATTAGTGGCTGCTTTTTCACTTATACCATGGTTTCCCCAACATTTAACATACAATTCTTATGTAAAATTGTCTCTTAAATCCGAAAATACCGTCAAAAGTTATGAAAGTAGAGCAGTTTTTGAGATATAGTCAATTCCATATTATATGGAAAATTGACTATATCTCAAAAACTGTTCAACTTTTTTAACTTTTGTCTACATTTTTGGATTCAGAGGAAAATTTTGCATGGAAATTGACTGCTAAATGTTCGGGATACAATTTGCTATTGACGAGAATTATTAGTGGCTGCTGTCATTTTTGACTTATTAATTTTTAGAGAGGGTACATATAAATAATATTTATGGATTTATTTTAACATATGAACCTTCATTAGTGACTTCGTTTTACATTTTTTGCTTTCGATAGTGCGGAGGCGGCAGCAGCTAAGGCCCTTGTAACTAATTTAGCGGCGTCCGATTCTTGTACGGTTCAATATCGACACGATCTGGAAGGATCGCCGCCGATTCCCCCGGGAGCGGCCCACTCGAACTTTCCTCTTGCTTGGCGCGCCGTGCTACACCACTGCCGCCTGATAAATCTTGCATCCTCTCTCTATCTCGCTTTCTCTTGTGTGTTTCACTGGATAGTCATCTCCCGCTGAAAGATCGATGCCTGTCCTCGCCGAATCTCTAGAACGCGCTTCTATTTTGACGAATTTGAAATTTCAAGAAACGTGAAACATTCATCCTGAGAAATAATTGGTAACGCCTAATTAACGCAAAGGATAAGCGAGATAAAAATAAATAACGATAGCCATTTAACTAAACCAGTCTTAAAATGCCTGAATCAATTTAAATTTAGTTTAAAACAAACTAAAGTCATCCTAAACATCCTAAATTTGCCTTAAATCTTCTAAAACCGTCTAAAAATGTATTACAATTGGAACTGTGTAATATATAAGAAAACCTTTTTTAAAATAGAACTTAAACTTAAAAATAAACCACCATAAAACCATTATAAAACTTTAAAATATTCTTAAAAAATGTTTCAACATTTAATGTTAAAAATTATTATAAACCATAAAAACATTCATCATTAAAACGTTTGGCTAATTTTTTTTAAGCTATATAATTATATATATATATATATTATATTATAATATATTGTATTTTTTAAGCAATACAATATATTAATTTATTATTATATTTTTTATATATAATTTTATATTATAATATAATATTTTTTAAGCTATAGAGTAAACCACATAGTTATTGGACACTTCAGAAATATTATTTATTTAAAATTTATAAATGCCGTTGTTATAAAGATTTCAATTGTTTTCTTATAAATATATAAAAATAATAGTTAGTTTGTTTATCTTTATATAGGTTTACTTAAAAATAAGAATATTTTAATTTTTAATAATAGTTTTATAAAAACATGCATGTAATTTGACATTTTATATAGTAATTGGACACATAGAACATAGTTATTGGACATACAATTTTTATATAAACATAACAACTTTACATAAAATAACATAAAATGTCAAATATTTTTTAAAGATAAATTGCTATTTTAGGTAATTTTGTAAATATCATAAAATTCATATATTTCTTTCTCGGATTCCTCATCCCGTTCTGCATCGTTTTCGTAAGTATCATATAATTTATCCATTTTTTTCTCGGATTCATCATCTCGTTTTGCAAGTATCATATAATTTATCTATTTCTTTTTCGGATTCCTCATTCAGTTCTGCATCAGTAAATTCTTTACTTCCATTAGAATTATCATTATCATTACTCTCTTTGTAACATGATGACATAAAAATATATCATTTTCCAATTCTTCAGCTATCTGTTCTTGATGTTTCTTAGGAATGCACTACTTATGATTTTTTTTTAATTTAGCACAATGTAATTTCTTTCAAATACTGACCACAGGAAGGTTTGTTTTCTTTTTGTTTGCATTTTTTAACTATGGCATGCTTTTTTTTCGTATTTTCTTTTTATTTCATCCTTTTGCTTGTCTTTTTCTTTTAGCAAACGTTTTCTTTTATGCATTTTTTGATATTCTCTAGAAGTGATAGCAAATGGAAATTTCTCTGAATTTTTCTTTCACTTACGACGACATATTTCTAGATTCTGAAGGTAACTATAGTATACCTACTAAATCCTTGGTCTGACCGAACATAGGGAAACGTATCGGGCGTGGCCTCGCCTCCCTCCAACGCGCGACACAGTAGCTAAGCAAATAGCCTGGCATCGGTAATGAGATTTTTTGCATTATTATCATTTAATTTTTAAGGCCGTCTTACCTGCTCGACCCTTCGTCATTTCGTTTATCACACAAGCTACTGGACGCGCGTGGCCCAAAAAAAAATAATATTATTTTTTCTCGTCTCTTGTGAAAATATATTGGTTTGTCATGTTTTAAGAGCCCTGTCAAAAGATCAGCTCCTTTAAAAAATTTTTAGGGGTCGCTCAAGATTTTAAAAAATTTCCAAAATCGTCAAAAA